TGAATAAGTCAGCTTAAATTTTATAAAATCATACATAATACTTATCATGTTTTATTAAAAAATTATTTATAGCTTTTGCTCTTTCAATTAAAATTAAGCTTTTCTTTAAACTATCTGTAATTGCAAGATAGATCATATGTGCAGCATAGCCAAGATGAGTTATTTTAAATTCTCTAACTGCTTTTTTTATTGAAGCTACATTCTTAGTAGTTATAGCAGTTAATTTGTCTATGATATTCTAATCTACAGTGATCTTGTGCAAAAAATCTTCAATATGATCACTTGTATAAGAGTATTCAAATTTTTTAATAGTAATAATAGATTGAAATATTACAAATTCATTTGTAAGCCAGTGTACTATTATTTCAATATATGGTATATAGTTTTGGCTTCAAGGATCTGTTATAATACATGCTGGTATCATCATTTGATCTATTAATATTTGCAAATTTTCTTGTATAAATAATGTTAACTCTACAATTTTATTTTTTACAGTATTATTACATAAAATATTAAACTGTAAATTGAGCTTATAACAAAAATCTTGAAATCGATTATAATTAATACTATCTAGTAGAATTATAGCTTCAACTAACCAGGCTACTAATCAATAAATTATATAAGTTTGTTTTTGTTCAGAAAAAGAATGGATGTTTTCTGTATATTTTTCTAATAGAGTATTAATTATTAATAACTTTGAAGTACTAGGTCTTTCTGTAAGAGAAAATACTACAGGTGCTATTAATTTTTGATCTTTAAAAATTCAATATTAAGTATATAGATGTAATGCTATACTAGTAACTGAGATACTTGGTCTAAATATAGTTGTATATTGCTCTTAAACACTATTTCTATTATCTATTTTAACTATACAATATTTAATCTTTGTAATTTTATCTTATCTTGTATATTTCCAGATCTAGCTTTCACAAGCTTTACTTTTATAAGTACATGTAGAACTTTTGATTATTGATGTTTGTAATAATGATTTTGTTAAATCTTTGTTTTGATCTGGTATATTTTTTTCATTTTCTGATTCATAAGTAACATTGTCATTAGTTTGTTCTTGCTCTTCTTCAAAACTTATATTATCTACAATATCTTCTTTATAATCTTGAGTATTTTTAAATATAGTATTATAAATGTTTTTGATTATATTATTATCTTGTGTATCTTTATATATATAATTATTTTGTATATTTTTATATATAGTATTATCTTGTGTGTTTTCATATATATTATTATCTTGTATATTTTCAATATTTTCAGACATACTATTATTATTTTGACTTTTTTAAGTCTATATTTTTGTATTACTATTATAAGCAAACATAAGTAGCCATCTTTAATTCATTTTTAAGCTACAGAGCTAAGAATAAATAACAAATTTTATATTAATTTTATTGTGCTAGTTTTATTAACATTATTATAAACAGATTATATATTATAGAACTTACTTTACTTTTATAATCTTATGAAAAATTTAGAGAAAAAAACTTGTTAACATGTATTAATTAACACAGTTTATATAATTTGGTATAATTTAAAGAATGATTTTTTAAAAAAAAAAGCAATTTTAGATAATTTGATAAGAATTTAAGATTCTGTTCTTGGATTTCTGCATAAATTACTATAGTGTACTAACCAAAGTATTTACTTTTTTCAATATCCCTCTTTGCAAAGTACTTAGATCTTTTGATTAGTATACTATAGTATTTTTTTTTTTTCTCGAAAGTAAATCTGATTTAAGTAATATGCTGCTTTTTCTAATTTATACTTTTTAGGTTCAATGTATCCACATCATTACCTTTAGAACTGTCTATTATATTTTAATATTGTGCAGTGTATGCTTGAAAAATTAATGTCGATAAGAGATTATTTTAAGAAATTTTTGCAAATAAACATTAGTTGAAATCTAAAAAGAGTATATATATATACAAATAAATATCTTTAGATCAATAATATCAAACTGCTAATGCTACGTAATATTTGTAATAAAATTAAACTATTTGTCTAATTTATAGTACAAAATCTAAAAAATATTTGGTGCATATTTAATATACTATAAAATTTTGCTTAGTACTACTTTACTAAATAAATACATCCTAATTAATAATTATACAAAGATAATCATACAATTTTAAATAAAAAAAATCTCATAATAGTATATACTATGTGATTTTTTTTATATATATACTATATTCGAAGCTTTTTTTTTTAATATATAAGTGATGCAAAAAAAAGCCAAAATTGTATATATATAAATAAATATAATATATATAATATGGTTATATATATGTTGTAGGTGGATACAGAATATCAGTAGATTCGGAATTCACTTAAGTGGATTTTGAATTCTAAAATAACTTAAGTGGGAATTGAATTTTTAAAAGCGAACAGGCAAATAAATTTA